CGCGTGCGTTCGTACACACGCACATACACAGACACATTACAAGTACGCACCTATTTTGAATTTGTTTTTGTTTGTTTGGTTGGGTTTTTTTTGTTTGTTTGTTGTTCATTGTGCTTTTTTGTTGGGGGTTTTATTATTACACTTAGCAAGTATTTTTTAGAAGGGAGGGGGGGGGTATCATAAATCAATATGTGTCTGTAAGTGGATGTGTTGTTTAATCGAGGTGTAACTGAGAGCATATTCTTACGGCTTTTGAATGAATCTCGACGACGCTGCATTGTCACAGTGATGTGATAGCGTATTGAAACTACGGATTTGCACCAGTCGCAATGCTGCGCTAGTGAAGCGAAATAATGTCCAGAGGAGGAACAAGCTTTCGTAAGACAATAGGTCCCTTTATCCACGTGAGAGAGGGACAAGACATTGAACCAGTGGAAAACCACTTAAGGGTCGTAAGTATTCCCTTTTTTTCCCTGTTGATGTATCATGTCATATCTAACAAACAAACAAACTCTCACTACCGAAATGAATGCCAACGCATGCACTACGCCCTTCATCCTCTGTTACAACACCCTATCCTTCTTCAACAATTCTCTCTGACGACGATCAGCAGTGAGCTATATTTTTTCAGTATTATTCTTAGCATCCCGTTTGCTGTTGCTATTGGTTTCGTATAGACAGTAACGGTGAGTTGTCTTCTGTGACCCTTAAGGAGAACAGAACGCACTACACAAGTATGGAAGGAAGATACAGTCTAGCAGAACACACCAATAGTGAACAGATTTTCAGGTCCCTATTTTTATACATGTGTATAATGTCTTTATATTTACATCACGTATATAGCAAAATTCGTACAAAATGAAAAGATTCCCACGTCCCTCTGATTTCGCTATGCACGTACTAGACTGTACGTTGTACTTGAGATAGTGATTCAATTAGTTTTAGTTTCAAAGTAGGATCATTGACGTTGTAATTATAATGTTGTGCATTCCAGCATTAAGCTCACCAAATTGTCCTCCGATGGCGTTGTGACATTGACTTTCAACGAAGTTGAAAACGTGACGATATGGCCGTTATCGTCAATGGCGTTCACTTCACACTTGTAGTCACCGGCCTGTCTCTGGGTCGGGTACTGCCAGGTCAGCTCCATGTACCTGCCAGGACACACACGGTCAGTTCATTTATTATTTTTTTGCTGGGACATAAAATATACCAAAACACAGCTTCGATTTTCTCGAGGAGAAGATACTTAATTATACTTCTTTATCTCTGTCTTTCCTCTGAGTCGTAGTATTCTACGCAGACCGAGATGCCCCAGACAGGCATTGCCTAAAGAAATGTAATGTTGGAGAAAAACATCTAAAGTTATCTACAAATACGAGTAAACACAGGACTTCAGAAACGCGAATTACAAGTAGCAGTATGAGTAAAACCCGTGGAGGAATTCTTTAGTGGGCTGGAACTGAAATGACAAGCGAAAGCTCAGTTACAGACAAGAAGAAAATTGGGTGTAAACTTGTAACAACCGTTCAAGTCATTGCAAAGTTCAAATACATGGAGTTCATCTTGTAGATACTTGTAGTAAAGCAGACTTTCAGAGGAGGAGGGGGGGGGGTGGTCAATACTTTAAGGGGCGATGGGCGACACCAGAAGGCTATCTCGCTTATTAGTGGATCAGAATTTACAAAGTTTCACATAATATAACAAGCCCAATCCTCAATCAAATTTGAGGGGAAAGTTTTGTTGTTATGGAGACGAGGGCCATATCGGATTTTGTTAATATGTCTTACGCAAAGAATACCGCACTTATTTTTCATGGAAACATGTCGTTATTTTGCATGCATGTTAACAGACAATAGATCTACAAATTCATCTGTTGAATTTTCCTAAACGAATTAGAACATTTTAATGATTTTTTCGTGAGGTTATATTTAAGTGTCCAAAAAAAAAATCTTTGAAAACCCACACTCCAGACGCTACCAAAAAAAATACATTCCATATATTTAAAAAGATATAAATAGACAACTATTTAGAGTTACATTCTTTTCTTAATTCTGTGAAGATTTCATGAAGATTGGGTTATAAATGGTGGAGTTATCCCAAAAAGTATATAGAAAAACAACGTTTTGAGAAAACAGGCGATAAAGAAAATAAAAAGATTGACTAAGAGGATATGGTAATTGCTGACTAACATACCTGGTATGTTAGAATAATGAGGCTTTATGGTTTTCTTATGCGATGAAATAGTTGTAAGAGAGGCTGAAGAAGCCAAAATGCCTACATCTCAAAATCCATAATTTGACCCAAATTGGGACTTTCAAAGTGTACCCCCCCCCCCTTTAAAGTGGACAAACTCAGCCCAGAAAATACTATACTCTACTGACCGGCTTTCTAGTACTCCCAAATCTATGAAAATTGGCTTTTTCGAGCCGCCGAATTCGCACGCTGTGAAAATAACAGCCCGGTGGAGATCCTCATCTCCCATTATGAATGGTATATTTCGGGAGACAGGCTTGCAAAAGAGATTAGCAAGATGTCACTCCATATTTGAAGAAGAAGATTCAACGTGAAAAGAGACACAAACAAGAAGATGGTCAGGCAGTTGTACAAGAGCACAAGAGTAAGAACAAGTCTCCTCTTTAGCGAAGACAGAGTGGCGTGTAACTGCGGTGTGAACGAGAACAGGCGGTTCAAGATTTACAAGCCGCGCACGCACAAAAATTATTGATTGTCTGGCGCATCACTGTGGTGCATCTGTACTTACTATAATGTAACTACGTTTCGGGAATACAAAATTAAAGTTTCTAAGCTCTTGTATCCCCTCCCCCCTTCCCATTTTCAAGCTTTTAACTTTTTTTAAAAAGAACAAACCCCGATCGTTTTATAAACGAAGGAGTTAAAAACAGCCGAGTATGAAAGAGTCTTACCCTCGACGCTCTGAGGTCACCGTGAGGTCGCCGGACACCTGCAGACTGGCCTGGTCTACCAACGCCTTTGCAGGGTCATGCTCGGTCATCTTGGCGACAGTTTCACCCGTGTTCCGCGTCAATATAATTGAAGTGACGTACTGCACATTAGTGGCCGTCTGTGTGACGTCACGACGACCCACCACAGGTGCGGTCAGTGATGGTGTGGTGTCATCTAAGCTACAGCGCAGGGTTGTTGAACGAGTGAGCTCTGTTTGTATGACGTCAGAGGAAGCATCCAAGACGATGATTGAGCCTAGAAATTTAGTGAAGGAAACAAGTTTCTTGAAGTTGGTGGACATGAGTTTTTTTTGCAGTGCTTTGGCTGTATGTAATTATTTCCGGTAATGTCTGACGATGGCGAATGCATCTGCACATGACTTTATTTCTAAGCAGAATTAAAGAAATGATTTTATGATGACTTGTGGCTTCTGCTATGGCTATTTTGAGTTTATCACATTTTGAGCATTCAAAAGCTTGTGAAATTACTATGTGTGTAGATTGTCCGTTATCACATTGTTTTGTGTTATCATTTTGTTCGACAGTCATGTGAAACGGTGAGAGATCTGAATGAGATGAGAGCATTATCATATTTATCGGCAACCAAGAGGTATATAATGTGGAGACATTCAGAAAATGTTAAAACCTAGAAAAAAATTCAAATCATTTATTTTTTTTCTTTTTTTTTTTTTCTTTTTTTGTTTTGTTATTTGGTAAGATCATCAACTACTACCTGCATACATGTATTTCAATAAGTTTTTTTAGTGGCTTATTTATGTGCTCAACTGGAAAAGCCACACATCTTAATGGAGGGAAAAACAAATAAACAAGCTTTGAAGACCATGCTACATTTTGTTGTCATTTTCTTGCAATGCAGTTATTAAGACATGGAAAATGTAAACGTTGTTGGTTTAAAAAAATTGTGGAAGTCTTAGTATTTTCATTAATCCAGCTTATGAATTTAGATAATTTATAAGAGCTGTAAAAACAGAGGGGGGAAACAAACATGACATTACATTCCTCTCGGTTACTCAGGAATGAGGATTTTATCCACCCAGTGAGGATTTTATCCATTCAAATTCTTCACTATTGCCAATAATTTTCACTGAAGACAGTTATAACATGAAACGTTATATACATGGAGAATTCAAAAGAGAGTGCAATCTCGGTAGCACCTGAAGTGTTAGGCTATCGGGTATCTCTCTTGGCTTTAGGTTTCTGATTCGGCAAGTTTTATAATATGATTAGCTGCCTTCTTTGATTTGCTGCTCTCCAACTGGGTCTGCTGGGAGCTTTTTAGCTCTCCCATGTCAAAAGATTAATATTATTGAAGTCTTTCAGTAAAATTTTCATTTTATCTTTGGAACAACTTTTTGGTGCGCCAATTTTAGGCTTCCTCGAGATAGGGTTAGAGTAGAATACTACCTTTGGAATTCTGAAATCAGACATTCTTGCGACACGGCCAACTGGGTCCTTTTGAGTTAAGAAAACAGTCTCTCGGCATATTCCCTTGTAAGACCTGAGGTGTCGGGTATTTTGACCTGCCTTTGATGCCAATATTCCCCTGATACATTTCTGTGTAAATTATGTCTCTGAGTAAAGCCTAGTTGATTCCAATATCATCGAGAGTGAAAAGGTATTGCTCAGTTTGGCATTCGGGTCTGTTTCGAAGGCTGTTTGAACAGTTCCATTTTTGGTTATTATTTATGTCGGGTCTTTCAGGATGGTTTCCCCTTAGGACGTCTTTTCCGATACAGTCTCAAGCTGGCTTTGCCTACAATCAGTCTGTGTTCAGTTCCGCCTTCTGTAGATCTACCACAAGTGGCGTGAATTACTCCGACTTAACTCTTTCTTTTTTCTTTTCACGATATAACTAGTGAGATACCAGTCCTTTGAGCGAGAATGCAGTCGTGCTGATCTATTACTGGTAAGTGAAAGTTTATGTTACTGATGAGCAAACCATGTTCTGCACATATTTTCTTAAACGGATGAAGGCTATTGCAGTTGCACGAGCACACACCATGCTTACCGATGACCCCTGCTCAAGCACTTGAGTTCGAGCCTGCCGTGGTATTGAAACCGCCCATTGATAGCAACTTGTCAGAAGCTGGGACAAAGCATAGAACGACTTTGATGTCTCAATAAAATTTATATTTGACATCATCAGGGTTGGCAATCATAGGAGCATGTGTACTCACAAATGTTGTTGCGTTGGGTCTTACCAAGGAGATGTCTGAGAACCACGAGTCCTTTATTATACCTTCAAAAGAGATTCCAGTTGGGCAGCTATGTGTGTGTGTGTGGGGGGGGGAGTTACTCGCAAAGCCAGCAATATTTTATCTACTTTCTTTAAAATATTTCCCTTTCCAGAAGAAAATGTAGCCGTCATTAAGTTATTTCAACCGACCTTCATCTAATTTTATTTAGAGCAACGATATCGAGGGCATAGCGGCTGAGCTCTAAAGCAATGATTACTCTCCTCCTTTCAAAATAGGAGCCAATATCCTACAGTGGTGTATTAATACTACTTTTCCCCCATTTTTTTCGACCACACTGTGATATCTCTTCCCTGTCATCCTTTCAGGATAAGTGAACTGAGCTTTCTTTAAGGGCACCTTTCAAATTCCTTCCCCGAGTATGGTCAGTAGCACTGTTTTAAAATGCTCTTCAGATACTGTGGGTGCTGCCGAACAATACCTTCAACTCATCTCGGTGATGAAACGACCAAGGCCCATGGCCACCTTACGTGCAGATTTGTGTTAACAGCTCAAAGCCCATGCAAACTGTTGCCATTTCACTCACCCATCGTTAAAGGAATTTGATGGGGATATGGGTTAAAGACAAAGGAAAGGGTAGAGGTGGAGCATTATGTTGACTTTTGCCAAGATTTCATTATCGATGCATGCGACATAGATCATTATTAGAGCATGTGGCTGTGCGGGCACAGTGAGCCTCATCAGCCCCAGCCGCTCATACCTGAGATATACATGTACAAGTATGTTCCCATTGAGGTTTGTGCATGTACTGGATTACATGTTACCAACTGGTATGAGGGATTTCCCTGAAATTACACTATAGGCGATATTCAATCAAGTATAAAACAACACATTGGAAAGACAGTGACATTTTAAAATGGTAATAATAATTTATCGGCGCTAAATGAAAATATGAAACTTAACGGGAACGGGTAGGTCGGGAGTTGTGGTTTAACTGACAACTCAATATAAATGTATAAGTTACGAAATAAAGACAAATGAAATGAGAGTGTTTAAAAGCCCAACTTAGAAAAGGAAGAAGGAAGGCTTTTCGGCTAGTTGGGAACCTACGATGAACATTTTCGTAGTCTCTTTCCAAATCTAATACATTTATTTAAAAATTATTTGAACAATTATTTTTATACAGCATGAAATTAACTTTCTAGTTATACCTAATGGTGCTCATTGACTCCACAGCATTTGTACAGCTTTAGATTTGTTTGCTGTATATGTGCAAACCGTTTTACGCTAACGCGCCCTTACAATAACGATAGACGAAGAGCAGGGTAAAAAATAATTCGGGGACATTCAAATTTAGCCGTACAGTTATTCCAGGTTTCTGCAGCATAAAGGAGCACTACTGAATTCATGGTAACTGTTCTTCCTACTTCCTTCTTCTCTTCGAGTCCTTATCAGTTCCTTTGTTTACGAAGTCCACATGATGGTGGCGCAAAATTTTTAACTGGTTTACAAGATCTATCTATCTATCTATCTATCTATCTATCTATCTATCTATCTATCTGTCTATCTATCTATCTATCTATCTATCTATCTATCTATCTATCTATCTATCTATCTATCTATCTATCTATCTATCTTTCCTCTCTCTCTGTGTTATATATATATTATATAAGTAAGCATGTGTTTACTTATTTATTTTCTTGCCTCCGCCGCGCGTGTCCCTGACCCCGTGTGTGTGTGTGTGCGTGTGTAAGTGTGTGTCGGTGTATGTCCGTGTGTGTGTGTGTGTGTGTGTGTGTGTGTGTGTGTGTGTGTGTGTGTGTGTGTGTGTGTGTGCTATACATACATATATATTTACATGTAATATAATGTTATATGTATAATACGTATGTTATTAATGTATATACATCGTGAACAAATAAAATAAATAGATACATGAATGAATGGATAAATAGATAAATAAATACATAAATTATATGCATGTACACACACACACATGTATATTATAGATAGATAGATAGATAGATAGATAGATAGATAGATAGATAGATAGATAGATAGATAGATAGATAGATAGATAGATAGATAGATAGATAGATAGATAGATAGATAGATAGATAGATAGATAGGGAGAGGAGGAGAGGGGGAGATGGGGAGAGGAGGAGAGGGGGAGAGGGGAGGGGAGGGGAGTCCATTAAAACAAAATCTTGTGTTAAGCAGCATAATAATTATTATGCCAAAATGTACCCATGTCTAGTTCACTTGTGCTTGTTGTGACATTGAACTATGATAGAAGTGACCTAGTCTGTGGAAACAGGGCCATCTGTGCTCCCGTCCTACTTCTTTAGACCTAACAATTTCTTTAAATGTTTTTTTTGTAATAGAGGGTGAACAATCCAAAACATATTCTCATCCTGGTAGTCGAGAGCAACAGATAACGTCGCTCTGAGAATTGTTTTCATGGCAAAATTAAACCAAAGCTGTGTCTGGGCTGTTGATGTTTCGTCAAAATACTGAAATTAAAGAAAACGGCACTAAAACCCCAACCTCCTTCTATCGCAAATAATTTATTATAGACTTGATTACTGTTCAAGATACGTAGGCCTAGGTGCATTTTTTGTAATATCAAAGAAAGGCAAATGATTCTGCCGTGTCGTGGTACTTTTATTTTTTTGTTACCGTTCTAATTGTTACTGGTGGTTCACATTACTGTGACGATGTTTGCCTCTTTGAAAAGAAATGGGTTTTTGTTCAAGTTAATGATAGTATTAAAACCCACAACAAAAATAACAAACTTCTTGTGTTGAGGCAGATATATAATTTTTTTTGTAATTAAAAAAATAATGTAATGTTTTTTGTGGGTTTTCTTTTCTTAAAGAAAAAAGCATTCCCTGCTT